ACAGCCGTGGGCAAACTACGGCCCGCGGGCTGGATCCGGCCCGTTTGAAATGAATAAAACTAAAAAAAAAAAAAAGACCGTACCCTTTTATGTAATGATGTTTACTTTGAATTTATATTAGTTCACACAAACACTCCATCCATGCTTTTGTTCCGGCCCTCCGGTCCAGTTTAAGAACCCATTGTGGCCCTCGAGTCAAAAAGTTTGCCCACCCCTGATTTAGAACGTAGGGAAGTGCCTGAAAAGTGACAGCTACTATTATTTCTCTGACCCAGAACAACAGTACTCTCAGCTCTGGACCCAGCGATGGCTGCAATGCCTAAACATAAGATACAGTTTCAAGATATGAGGAAGAAGCCTGGGAATAGGATTTGGGGAAGCAGGGAGAGTCCTGACCTCAGGCCTGACCAGTTTGGACCAAGCATGGTGCTTCTCTGGGCTTTATTTTCACCTTTGTAATAAGAGCAGGGGAGGGGTTTGATTACACTGAGTCCTCCCAACCTGCAATCCGGGGTGTTTAGGTATCTGTGAAAATAATATTGCAGGTTCTCAAGCAATGCTGAACACTTCAGGCCTAAGGGAAATCAGGTAAATATGTAGCCCTGATAAGCCTGCTCACACTAACCAAATGTCAAGTTCCTCCACTTACAAGGAATTATATTAACTCCAGATAAAAACACCATTTACTTAATACTGACTAGAGATTTGGATTGGCAGTTAGTTATCTTTACAGAACAAAAAAATAAATAAATAAACTAAATCACCTTTATACTTAAAAGTGCTATTTCCCAAACAGATGGTTTTTTTCAAAGCACGTGACCGCTGGGTAAGAAGATAATAAAAAGGGCCATTGGTGAAAGACTGTGATTATCAATGCACTAGAGGATTTCTGAAGCCTGTTCTTGGCTCGAACGCTCGGGAGATTACTGAAAGTCGCTCTAAAGCAATCAACTATAACAATTTATTTCACGTGTAATTTTACTCTGTGGCATCAAGGGGAAGATGTCTTGCTCTAAAATTTCAAGGGGAAAAAATAGAAGACCCAAAGGATGATTCTGAAAAGTAAAAGCATATGAAGGAGGAATTTTAAACGCTAGGAATGCCAGGACAGCAGACAAAAATAAATTTAAGTTTTTAAACAACAAGAGCAACAAATGGTCAAATGACCTGCCGTAGAAATGGTAATAGGACTTAGCAATAATAATAGACCTTGCCATTTATCTGCATGTAAATGTGCAGTTCCTATGTATTCCAGAGGGCTAAGAAGGGGGATGGGAAGGATGGCTGCCATTACTCACCTCCCCACCAATCTCAGGAATCACTGAGGGCACAAGGTTCTTTAGAGGTCAGGGTCTGAAAAGTCAGCGGTAAGTTTTCTCTTTTTAGAAGCCTCTCACTTGGGTATTCAGGGCAGCCAGGAAACTGCTCTCAACCCTGTGACACTGGCATGCAAATCCCAGCTCCTGGAAGCAGGGCAGATGGGAGCATGGGCAGAAATGGAGAAGCAGGTGGAAGAAAGTGTTACATCCTTCCAAGAACACAGGGTGCTGGTGGGAAGAGGATCAATAATAATAATAAAGCACGCAGAAGCAGTTTGAAAACAAAGTACTACATAAATGTCACCTCAGTTAGGCCTTATGACAAACTTGTACATTAGGTATTATTGTTATCCCATTTTACAGACCAACCAAATAAAGACCAACCCAATGAGCACAAGAAAGGTTATTTATTCAAAGCTTGCTATAGCAAAGAATCAGCCACTGTCACGTATTTGGAGGAGATTCAAAGGCAAGCAGAAAAGGGGGAAAGCTTTATGATGGATAAAAGGGAGGCCCTGGTGTGGGGGAGCTGTCGGTGGGTTAACTAGAAGAGGACATCCTCTGTGATTGGTTAGGAAGCATAGGTGGCTTTTTCTGGTTGGTCCTAAGTTGGAAGTGAGGACAAAAATTAGGGAAGCTAAAAGGTAGTAATCAAGCCCTGTCCATTTGGGGACTATTGTTACCAAGGTCACTGTTTGGCTTCCCTGGGTGGTTACTAGGGACAGTGGTCAGAATTCCTATCAGTCTGATTTAGGCAGACTTTCTGGGATGGTTACTGTGCATTAAAGGCTTGGTTTTCTGGACAAAGTTCTGTTTTTATATATGACCTTGCCGTTGTCTATCTGTATACTCAGTCTCTTAATACTTAGGAATGAGTCTGTACAAAACAAAGTTTGCCCAAATAATTAGCAACAGTGACTCTCCGAGCCCTGGAGAGGGACAGGGTGTGACCTCTGCACTTCATCCAGTATGCCAAAACGCCTAGTGCAGTGGTCGGCAAACTGCGTCTCACGAGCCACATGCGGCTCTTTGGCCCCTTGAGTGTGGCTCTTCCACGAAATACCGACTTCTGCACATGGGCCACGAAGTTTCAATCGCACTGTATGTGCACGCCCGCACGTGGTATTTTGTGGAAGAGCCACACTCAAGGGGCCAAAGAACCGCATGTGGCTCGTGAGCCGCAGTTTGCCAACCACTCACCTAGTGGAAATCATACATTCACCTATGAAATACACACATAGCCTCATAAAAGCACCAACCATGTCTTTCAAAAGTAAGATCACTATATTGTTTTTCCTGTTTACTGATTTGCTTTAACACTAATAAGTCATAAGAAAAATGATTTAATAAATCAAAAGTAGATCAAAGTTTTCAAAATACAGATACATCAAAGGAAAAATCCCTCAAATCCTTTCAAGTACATCTTGATCTAAAACTCAAAAATCTTTCACTCCATAAACTGAGCCTGAGTGGGTGAATCATGGGTCTGACTAGCAACACCGTGTCTTGGAGGAGCACAGCTTGCGTCCAGCGCCCCCTTTCTGTCTGTCTGACCACGCCCTCCCCAGGAGCTCAGATAAAAGTACAACATTCATGGTCAGAATTTGAATGGATACAGCTCATTGTCAAGTGTCCCTGCACTCAATGTCTCTGACGATTGGGATAAGACACTAAATTGCTATTGAGTAAAGCAATACAGACCCCTTTGCTGGATAACTTCGAAGGGAAAAAAACTAATTCTGTCTCTCTTCTAATAGATACCTGATGGAAAGCATGACTCCAGTGTAGCTAAAGGACTCTGAGGTAACATAGAACTGGCTTAGGCCGACTCTCCTGTGCTTTCATACATCCTTTTGATAGAATGCCCCTGTCTTCCCTTCTCACTCCTACTGCCTCCATCCAGTACAATCCATTCAAGCCCAAAGACCCCAACTCAAATGCCAACTCTTGAGTAACACCTTCCCTGGTAGGATTGCCCTGGCATAATCACTTGTCCTTTGCTTCCATGGGACTTTTGTGAAAGAATGTTAAGAAAACACCTACACCGTGGCATTATAGCTATTTTTTTATACAATGTTAATCTTCCCTCGCTATATTATTGAGTTTCTTTTTATTACAAGTCTGTGTCTTATTTACCCTCTCCCTTTCTCAGAGCCTGGACATGTAAACAATGCACACTCACTACCTATTCTTTTCATGTCATATCCCAAAGCCCCAGTGAGAAAGTATGATTATTTAGCCGGTATTGAGGAAACTGGAGGCTC